ACACCTTACTAGTACCAGGTTGGACTCCCTTTTGCCTTCAGAACTGCCTTAATTCTTCATGGCATAGATTCAACAATGTACTGGAAATAATCGGCAGAGATTTTGGTCCATATTGACATGATAGCATAATGAAGTTGCTGCAGATTTGTCGGCTGCACATCTATGATGCGACTCTCCCATTCCACCACATGCCAAAGCCAAAGGTGCTCTATTGGACTGAGATCTGGTGACTGTGGAGGCCGTTTGAGTACAGTGAACTCATTGTGATGTTCAAGAAATCAATCTGAAAATGATTCACGCTTTATGACATGGAGTGTTATCCTGCTGGAAGTAGCCATCACAAGATGGGTACACTGTGGTCATAAAGGGATGGACATGGTCAGCAGCAATACTCGGGTTGGCTGTGGCATTGACACAATGCTCAATTGGTTCTAATGGGCCCAAAGTGTGTCACAAAAATATCCCCCACACTATTACAACACCAGCCTGGACCGTTGATACAAGACAGGATGGATTCATGCTTTTATGTTGCTGCCAAATTCTGACCCTACCATCCGAATGTTGCAGCAGAAATCAAAACTCATCATACCAGGCAACATTTTTCCAATCTGTTGTCCAGTTTGTGAATTGTTGCCTCAGTTTCCTGTTCTTAGCTAACAGGAGTGGCACCCGGTGTGGATTTCTGCTGCTGTAGCCCGTCCGCCTCAAGGTTGAACGTGTTGTGTGTTCACAGATGTTCAGAGTTCTGCATACCTCGGTTTTACCGAGAGGTTATTTCAGTTACTGTTGCCTTTCTATCAGCTCAAACCAGTCTGGCCATTCTCCTTTGACCGTTGGTATCAACAAGGCATTTGCACCGACAAACCAGTAAGACCCTCACTGGATATTTTCTCTTTTTCGGACCATTCTCTGTAAACCCTGAAAATGGTTATGCGTGAAAATCCTAGAAGATCCGCAGTTTCTGAAATACTCAGATTGTCCTGTCTGGCACCATCAACCATGCCATGTTCAAATTCACTTAAATCAGCTTTCTTCCCAATTCTGATGCTCTGTTTGAACTGCAGCAGATCGTCTTGACCATGGCTGCATCCGAAACTGCATACTTCCATACTATATAGTGCCCCATTATGCCCCGCGAGAGAGTTTATGAATGGGACTGAAGTGACGCAACCGACGCAGGTAGGTCATGTGACCATGACAGAATGGCGGATGTCGTACGTCCGAATTCCATTCATACTTTTCACATTAATACTGTATAGATCGTACTTTTCTAACGGCCGAGCAGTACGTTTAAATTTAAATGCAGTACCTACTTAGTAGTAGGCAGTTTCGGACACAGCCATTGTCTACATGCCTAAATGCATTGAGTTGCTGCAATGTGATTGGCTGATTAGAAATTGGCTTTAATGAGCAGTTGGACAGGTGTACCTAATAAAATAGCAGGTAAGTGTATGTTATTTTCAAAATTAATAAGTCATAATTGGTCATAAAAAATAAAGTTTTTTTTAAACAAGTACATTAAATCTGCCAGTGAATAATGAAAAATAACTATTTCAAACTAAAAACAAGATTATTTTACTTACCTTGTTGGCAGATTATTTTACTTGTTTCAAGGAACAACTTGCTTAATTTTGATTTATCATTTCTGAAACCAAGACATTTTTTGCTTGTCAGTAAAAAGCTTCTTGATTTAAGATTCTTTAGATATTTAAACTTGAAACAATGTAAAAACTAATTAAGTAAAACTTTTTTGCAGTGTAAAGAGTTCTGAGATCTAAATAGTTGTCATTTACATTTGTGCTTGACTCTCTCTCATCCGTCTCGTTTGAAGGAGCCCAAAACGGATAAAGATGATGAATACTGTCGCAAAGTTAACGAGTACCTAAATAACCCACCCATGCCCGGCGCTTTGGGCAGTGGAGGAGGTGGAGGACATGAGCTGTCTGCTCTCGGTGGTGAGTGATAGACGTGTCCCAATTTTATTGCTTCTGATATTATCAGATTCGTTGTTTGAGCTGTTTGGCAGCTGACATGATGGAATAGATCATTCACTTGAAAAAAACATGTCTAGATTAAGATTAATGGAATGCTGTCAGGATGACATTAATACACGAGGTATGAAAGCAAAAAATGAAACCAATTCCATAAAGAAAAAGCAGTATTAATCAATCAACAGTGCCATTATTCCAGAATATCAGCACTTGAGATTAATCACACATGTGATATTGAATTTATACAACAGTTCAACAAATAAGAAGTTAATATTGAATGTTACATTTTGGAAGTGAAATAGTCTTAGTTTGACAAATTCAAATCAAATGCTATCATACGTGCGTTTATGAATCAATCTGTTTTTGAATGAATCCTTTGAGAAAATGGTTCAGTGGTTTATTGATAAAGATGCTTGTTTTGTTTCTAAATGTATCAGCAGCTTTGGATGAATCATTTAAGTTAATGCTTCAGTGAATCAGTCATTCAAACAGTGCCTGCTGCCATATATTGCTGGATAGCATGTTAATTGTTTTCGACATTGTTTAAAAAACACTCATCAGTTATCATTAATAAGATTTTTCATCAGCATAGCAAGCCTTACACTGGTAGAGATGTATAAACTTGAACTGAGAAAGGAGAATTAGTCCAAGTTTCCCAATGGCAATCCATCTTTCATTATGTACAGAAAATTGTCCTCAAATTTGAGAATTATTTTAAGTGAAAGTTCAATTATATTATTATATAATATAAATATAAATTTTGGCTTCATCTTCTGAGGCGCAAGTCATTTATAAGAAAAAGGCCCACAGCGGCATCTACTGCAGCACATTCCACTTTTTCTTTTGGTTTGCTGTCAGTCATTGAATGGAAATGCTGCTTTAATCACAAATGTTTTAGGTTATATTTCAGTTTTGCACACATAATTTGCTTTATTGGGTTGATAAGTGTATGCATTTTGTAAGGTTTATTTATTATATTTATGTGTAATATTTCTATGTTTAAATTGTTGTCAATTATAGTTGTCATCAAGTTTTATTTGGAAGCGCAGAGATATGAATAAAGGACGACTTGTGTGTTCAATCATGTGAAAAGGTTAATACACAACTTTGAATAGTCAAGTGGTCAGCTTTAGAGAGAGTGTGTGCGTGCATGTTGGCACAAGCCCTTTGTCTACAAGAGTGCAAAGAGAGTCTTGCTTTTTTTAATTATAACTTTGTTCAAGGAGAAGGTGGCCTGCAAAGCCTTCTGGGTAACATGAGCCACAATCAACTCATGCAGCTGATCGGACCAACAGGACTGGGTGGACTTGGTAAGTGATTTATTGAATTTTTTTTTTAAAGAAAGGTTATTTATTCAAAATAATGATGTTCAGATATTTGCAGTCAGTAAAAGGTTTTTGTTTTCTCTCTCCAGGTGCTCTGGCTGGTCCAGGATTGGCCAGTCTGTTGGGCAGTGGAGGTCCAGCCACCAGCAGCTCAACCTCCAGGTGCGACTCGTGATTTCTCCATGCAGTAACCCATTTTCTTCATGCACTGATCTGTTCACTCATCTGATTGATTCATTTCTGATTCACAGCTCTCGTAGCCAATCAGCAGCAGCCACTCCGTCCTCTGGGTCTGCTGCCCGTCTTAGCTCCACCCAGGCTCCCACTACACCCGTAACCCCTGCTGCCACCTCCAGCGGATCGCCCACTGTCACCCCCACCACCCCTGCAGCCCAGACCCCCTCCCTGCCTGCGGGACCTGCATCCAGCACACAGCCCATCCAGCTGAGCGACCTCCAGAGCATCCTGGCCACCATGAACGTGCCTGCCATGCCCACTGAGGGATCCGGAGGTAAAAGACGGACGTCTTTCTTCATCTTCTTGTTCACAATACATGCATTAGTTCACCACCCTCTAATACCTACATTCTGCAGGCCTGTTCATGAAGCTACCGAGAAAAGCAGATTTGACTCTAGATTCACATTGTAAGAATGATTATACAGGATAAATGAAATCTCTGAAATTCCAACACATCTCTTCTGTTGTCCCCTGTGTAGTGGACTTGGCGAGTGTGCTGACCCCTGATGTGATGGCTCCTATTCTGGCCAACCCTGAGGTTCAGCAAAGGCTGCTGCCGTACCTGCCTTCAGGAGAGTCTCTGCCGCAGAGTGCAGAGGAGATCCAGAACACACTGACCTCACCACAGTTCCAGCAGGTTGGTCACTCTCTCTCATGCGCACACACAGGCGCAAAAAAGTTCCAAAAGTTGATTATCATCATAGGTGCCCTTTAAAAACAAGTGAAATGTCTACAGTGATGCTTTCATCATGAGTGCTGCTGGCCATGATAATCATATATTGTGACTCAGTGGAATCAGTGAAATTTCTGATTGAATTGTGTGTAAATGTTGGGCCTGATGTGAACATGTCTGTGTGTGTGCAGGCGATGAGTATGTTCAGCAGTGCTCTGGCTTCGGGTCAGCTCGGGCCGCTCATGAACCAGTTTGGTCTGCCTTCTGAAGCAGTGGACGCAGCTAATAAAGGAGGTCAGTGTGCATCAGGAAAAGCGTGTAGTTTGTTTAGTCTGTTACTGTTTCATGTAATGCTTGCTTCAAATCCACACAGTGTTTTTACGTGTTGTTAAAAGTCCCTGTCAGATGATGTAAACACTATTATGTGACTACTAAATACACAAAATAATTTATTTTCCTTTAATTTAAAATCTATCCACGAGCACTGATCCGTTTTGTCCTGATGTTTAGACGTGGAGGCATTTGCTAAAGCCATGGAGGGCAGTGACAGCAAAACAGACGACGGAGACTCCAAAGACAAGAAAGATGACGATGAGGACATGAGCTTGGATTAGAGACGCTCTCTGAACGCCATAGTCTCTCTGAAGTGTTCTAGTCTGGGATGTTTGCCTGTACTCATTCACTGACCCAAGTATGTGTTTTTGTATGTGCAAAAGTACGCTATTAAACCCCCGAGCTGTAACCGCAGTCTGCGCACGAGTCAAGTCCATCACATCAAACACAAAGGAGATCTTTATTGCCAATAAAAATACAGCTAATTGAGGGAAACGTGATAATAACATGACAAAAATAACATTTCACGAGTGACTTTTAAATACACCAAAGGCTTAGGAAAATGCCTGTTTTAATACAATTAAATATAAAGTCATTTAAGGGTGTTTGGTCATGATTACATCAGTGAATGATTTGAATCCAGTGCTCCATTTTTCATCTGGTCCCTGCAGTTGTGAACATGTTTATCAATGGTGTCGCAGTGCTTTTATTAAAACGACACACACAAAGTGAACATAAATATCTGATTAAATTAACCTCTATGCAAACCCACCACCTGATGATCGGATAGAGTCTGTGTTTGGCTTGACACTCTATTAGGCCGGGCAGCCCTGAGTGCCCACTGATCCAGACACTGACAGAGGTTTGGAGAGCATGACGGGCCTGTGGTTCAGTACGGCTTTCCTCACACACCCCTGGAAAGACTGGACGCTGGATGATAGACCAGGCACTGTAATGGTCTCTGCACACGACAGGATAAAACGCACGTTAAGCATTATACCTCATTCACTTTTAACTGCACTATATTGGCTGGTTGATTGATCATACCTGGCAGACCACCCAAATACACCGCCTCTTTGCCTCCGTTGGATCTGCTCTGTTTGGGAGCCACTCCGTGTTCACTGAACGAGTCCACGTGCAGCTGAATGACGTTGCTCTTCTTCACAACTAAAACACAAATATTTAATTTAAGTGTGAAAAACTGTAGACCCGACCTTAACCTTATTCAAGTCTTACATGTAGATACAGTTAAATTCTAAATTATTAGTCCTCCTGTTTTTGTTTTTCAATTGTTTCCCAATCAATGTTTAACAGATTCAGGAATTTTTCACAGTATTTCCTATAATATTTTTTTCATCTAGAGAAAGTCTTATTTGTTTTATTTTGGCTAAAATACTTTTTAAAAATATTAATAACTGCTTTCATTCTAAGGTTAATAAAATAAGCCCCCTTTAGCAATATATATATTTTTTCGATTGTTTAAAGAACAAACCATCATTATACAATGAGTTTATGATCAGAGCAGTGGTTCTCAAACTGTAGTACCTGTACCACTAGTGCTATGTGAGCTTCCTTCTAGTGGTACGTGGAGAAATCAAATGTCATATGTACATGCTACATATAGTTCAAAAATGATTTATCTATTAATATGATGACATATAGCCTATATTTATGAGGTCCAAGCAACATCTCCAAGTTTTGATGAATAAGCTACTACTGTATATGGATACTTGTTAAGAACAGTAGCCTACCATATTTAATGAACTTTTAAAAGCACATTTCAATTTAAACGTTAATGTTTTATTTTGTTTGTTTTTTTGTTTTGTTTTTTTCATATAAGCACAGTACAGTGTTAATGTTCAAACTATTTATAATGTTAAAAATGGCTTATAATAATAAAAATTCTTAATAATAGGAATTAATCTGCCTGTTTTTTGAACAGTGCAGTGCTGTAGCTTCTTAACTGAGCCTACCACACTACTGTATTTCAATACTGCTCATTATAGCGGTACTTGTACAGACAATTTGTTTCTGAGGTGGTACTTGCTGAAAAAAGTTTGAGATCCACTGACCTAGGCTACGTTCACACTGCAGGCAAATGTGGCCCGAATAAGATTTTTTTTCCCCCACATGTGACTCCGATGATGACAGTGTGAACAGCTTAAACCACATGGAATCTGATCTTTTCAGGTCAGACTTGTGCCACTTTCATATGTAGTCTTAGATCAGACACAGATCTGATGTTTTGCAATGTGAGCGCAGTGTGAATGGTTATGTCGGATTTCATGTGACTTTCACATAATCTTCCAGCGACATGCGTCATCATTCTGTGCTGCAAACATTAGCCCCTTTCACACATACAGACCTTTCCGGAAAATTACCGGCAATTTTCCAGAAAGGTCTGTATGTGTGAACAGGTCCTTTTTGAAAATACCGGTAAATTCGTTCTGGCTATTTTCTGGAAAGAGAAGTTGTAACATTACCGGCAATTTGCCGGAATGCTGCGCTGTGTGAACGCAGAAGGAATATTTCTGGAATAAGCGCGTGCACGTCTAGAACGTGCTGACGTAAGACTTCTGCTTTAGCCAATCACAACAGTCAGACGCATTTACGTCCGCGCAGTTTGTGAGAATAAAAGCCTTTGAATATTTTTCCAGACACAATTAGCTGCTAGAAGTTAGTCAGATCACGTTTATATGTTCTTCTTAATGCCAACTGTGCAAATAATCATCGATAAGATGCTTATGATAAGCCGTTGTTTGTTTACCTTCAAGCTTTGCGTGTGCCTGTGAAACAGCCTGTGAGCGCCTGCACACGCACATATTATGAACATCTCGACATGCGAATATGATCCTGTGAAAGTTGTTTACAATATTGATCATCCACAGAGTTTGTAATTTAGTCAAATGTTTACAAATACAAGCGCAGCCGTTTAAAGCTCATTTGTGGTGAATGATGTCAGAATTTACCGGTATTTTGGAATGGATGTGTGAATGCTCTTTTCCGGAAAATTTCCGTAACGTCCTCGCCTGTGTGAACAGCGCTTTTTTGAATATACCGGTAAAGTCGTTCCGGACATTTTCCAGATATTTACCGGTATCACTGTGTGAAAGGGGCTATTATCTTCTCCTCCTCAGAATGGCACACAGGGCGATTACTCTACCACAGAGAGTTGGTTGTTCATTATGAAAAAGATTTTGAAGGCAAAACTACTGTTTGTTGACTAATCTGGTTACAATTGAGGTACAGGTTGATCGCGAAGCCAAAGAGTGTCATGGGTGTTGCGGATAGGGGATCCGTGTGCAAAGTAGGGAGAACTTTCTCTCCAAGAGAAAAAAGGGCAGGTGCTCGAGCACCCAAACCTCCCTTCTACACGTGTCTGCTGTTTATAACGAAGTAAAATGAAATATTTCTGCAAACGGAGATCAACCAACTCCGCCTTCACAGCTCAGTCTGCCGCTGCTCATTAACCCTGGATGAGTTCACCGGTGGTCAGAGTGTCACGCACCACAATTGTCATACAATCACAAGAGACTTGTTTTAGGTTTCAAATGTCGAAATACACATTATTAATAGCTGAACAACCCTTTACAGTTGATAAAATACACCACGGTTGTCTGTGAAAAGAGTAATAATCATAAGCATGATCTGACAGCGTGCTTACCTCATACAGTATACGCATGGTGTGCAGAATTAGACATTTTGTCCTGTCCATATCTGTACTTTTGCACATGCGGGTCAGTTTAGAACCATGATCTGTTCACACTGCAAGTCTGATATTGGCCACATTTATAAGAGCAGTGTGAACAGCCATGCAAAAACATCTGATCTGAGAAAAAAAAAAATCAGATTTGAGCACTAAGCCTTGCAGTGTGAACGCAGAGGACTCTTAGGGTGCTTTCACACCTGTGAATCGATTCAGTTGTTCCAAAACAGGGAATAAAATTGTTACTTTGTTGCTCTTGGTGCAGTTCGCTTTCACACTGCAAAGTTTCTAAACGGACCAAAAGAGCTAAAACAAGTCACGTGTGAGTAAACTCCACACATTGGTCAGAGTGTCAGGGTTTATTTTGCTCAGCTGTCAGGGGGGTGGTGGTGTTTGACAAGGTGCGCGCGATGTGTCTGAAGAGCGAGGAGAGATGTGGTTGGGAGGGGTGAGAAGGGTGTGTGATGTATTTGAGGACCGGGAGGGAGACGCGCGATTACCGGCAGATAATCACTCATTTGCGGGCATCCGGGAGACTCCCGAAACTTCCCGCCCTACTCATAATTCTCTCTTCATATAGCCGTATGCCCATTACAAATCCATAAAACACTGTGATATAACTGTGCTCGGATCATATCGCTTTCTCATTACAATCGATCCGCTCCAGAGTTTGTTTCAATCGAGCTGAGACCACCTCATTCAAGCGATCTAGGAGCGATTGATTTGGAGCGGATCCTAGCACGATTGCTGGTTTCACATATGCCAAACAAACCGCTCTAACGAGACAGGTTACGAAACAAAAGTTTAGGTGTGAAAGCACCCTTAAGCCTACCCAAACCACATGTGCACATTGGCCAGAGCATCATAATGTTATTAAAGGGAAAGTTCACCCAAAAATGAAAGTGCTGTCATTATTCACTTATCCTCCGTTTTCTTTTCTTGAACACAAAGGAAGATATTTTGTTTTAAATGATTTCCAAAGTCTTTTTGTTCATTTTGACACGTAAAGCCATTGATATGAGGCCATTGAATGTGAGGAAATGGCATTAAAATCAGCAAATACCACACCCCCACTAACATCACAATACTTCTTAAACACCATCATTATCTCCTGATGAGTTTGCGCCTAAATGTTGTCACTGATCAAAATAGTACTGATATATCACAAAAAAAGTACTGATATATCAGTACTTTATTTTTACATGAGCATTAAAAGTGAAATCAAGTCTAGTTAGTTTACTCAACTAAAACAAGTACTTGATCTTTTACTGGGTTCTGTTCTTCGTACCTCGCTTAAATGATCTAAGATGATTTGGCAGATCCTGGATCTGTTAATCTTGATAACTGATCTCTCGCTAATTTGGTTCTTCAAACAAGTTCATGAATCTGATTAAAATGTCTGGATAAAGTGATCTGAGATCGTTACATGTGTTGTGAAGGACAGATCTATCGATCCTCGAAATCATGATCAGCTATGCAGCGATTGGCTGACGACACAGCAGCGTAATGACATCATCTGATTAATATTCAATTATCCATGTGAGCAAAATTATCCGTCAAATTAGCAGTAAACGGCTTGTTAAATATGACACGCAATAATCTTCTACATTTGTTATGAGCGGCAGGCTTTACACTTTCATGTTTCAACAGTATTCCTCATTAATTTCAATGCATATCGAGATTCTAAGATTTTAAGATTTTCTTTATTATAGTAGACTTTTTTAATCGGTGTAAAGAATAACTGGATGTTTGCAAAAGCATTTTGATATTGGTAAAGGTGTCTGCAACTTTTATGAAGCATCAAATCATCGTCATATTAACTGTCAAAACATGTTTATGACTGCATAAATGTATTGTTGCTTTTAAAAAAAAATCACATACTGTGCATGTCTATTATCATACACAAATTGTACTAAAGCGATCTAAAAATTACATATCAAAGTTTTCTCTTTGCACCACCAGGTGGCAGTCTTTGTACATTCATTTCGGGGGTGCAGATTGCATAGGTTTTATTAATAAATAACTTTATTTATTTTATTAATAACTATAACTTTATATAGGTTTAAAAGATTTAGTATTTTCCCAAGTGTATATAACTACTACTGTAAGAAAATATCAGAATTCGGTACATACTTTCTGTATTATCTTTGCTTGTACTGAGCCGATCTAATCCTGTTTATATGAATTGAACCTGCTTCCGACCAGGTTTGAACTAGCAGAACTGTTGCTATGACAACAACTCTCAGATCAGTTTAGAAGAACGAAACGATCCTGGATCATGTCAAATTGTCAATAACCAAATCCAGCTAACTGAGTAATCCACGTACGAAGAACGGACCCCTAGTATAATTATTTATTACCGTATCTATCTTTACATCTGCTCAAACCATTGCTCTGTGCTTTTCCCACCAACTGAGAAATACCTTGTATATCTATTGTTATTGTCTAAAATGCCCAAATAAAATAGGTACAAAATACTTTAATGGAGAAAAACAACAAAAGGTACACAAGCACGTTCCAGATTCAGAAATGAAGGTGGTCTCGACTTACTTGCAATAGTGTGCCATCCTCCATCACAGAGCGACTCTTTAGGTGTGAGACTGACTGAAAACTCTCCACTACCACTGTTCATCAGCACAGTGACCTACACACAGAACACACAAAGTGTCAAAGACACCCAATTAACCTGAATAAAGCATTAGAAAACATCACAGTAAGTCTCGCTTAAAGAGGTAGTTCACCCAAAAATAAACATTTACTCACCATCGTTTTTTGATTCTGTTGAACACTAAAGAAAATATTTAGAAAAAATGTTGGACATCTATAACCGTTAACTTCCATAGCAGAAAAAAAGTACTATTGGAGTCAGTGATTACAGATTTCCAACATTTTTCAAAGTATCTTCTTTTGTGTTTAACAAAAAGAAACTCAGCTCAACAAAACATTTTTAGATGAACTATCTTTTTAAAGGCCTTGTGAAGTGGTTTGACAAAATTGCAACTGAAATATGAAGAAAGGGTGAGAGATACAGTCTCCTCTTCTTTTGAAAAACAGCCAATTTCATTTGGTCTACATCACAACGCTGCCATTCAACACTGAGGCCCCATTTACACGAATGCGTTTTCGTTTTAAAACGCATAAGTTTTGCTACGGTTACGCCATCCGTCCACACTACGCCGGAGTTTTCGAGCGCCAAGAACGGAGCGTTTTGGAAACGCTAAAGAGGCCGTTTTCATTGTAAAACGCTGCTGCTCCGTCTCAGTGTGGATGGGGGAAAACGGAGACATCTGAAAACGGAGACATCTGAAAACGGGGGGGAGGCGGGGCTGTAGACATTCACCTCTCTGATTGGGGCTTTTCCACAATATTAAGTAGCCTACTTGTCCTCTCTTTGTAAGTTCAGACTTAGCAAGTTTGATATGGAAAACAGACTACCGAGGATACGAACGAGCAGTACACGAACAGTGTACTCTATATCCTCGTTCACATCACCCTGGCTACGTTGTTTCACTTTCTCACAATAAAATTAAAACATGATTTAAGAAACTGCCTATTTTCATTTTTGATATTAGCAACTTAACAGACAGCAGAAATGTTAAGGCGTTGTGCTGCGTATATGACCATCATCTTCACTGTGTGCATATTTATAACAAGACGGAGCCTATAACATTACTGCGTCCTTTCATTTTCAGTGAAAATACGAAATATACCCTCTCTTTTGCTGAATGTCAGTTTTAATAATCGATAATGGCCATTATAAAAGTATGACGTACAGTAAGTTTAGACTTTATAGGAAATAAAGGCAAGCGATCAGTCAATATACAGAATGTATGTGGTTACGTTACATTAGATATTAACCTGAGCTTTGCGTTCAGCCAAAACAAGTTACCTAAGAACAAGTAATAGATTCAAAAGACCAAAGTCGAGAATATGTTGTTAGATGAAGACAACAAGATGAATGAAATATCATGTTTAACAAATATAATGAGATTAGATCCAGCGGGAGATTGCTTGACTTGATGAGCAGTTCGACGAGCACAGCTCTCATCTGGGTAATGTGGGTAGATATGCTGCAGCGCATGCCAGGGAGTGTGCGTGCGTGTGTGTGGTCAAGTAATGTGCATTTCAGTCATTTTGGTGTGGACGGAGAGCTGTTCAGAAACGCTGGGTGAAACGCTAGTATGGACTTGGATCGTTTTCATTCTAAAATGCCCTTTTAAAACTAAAACGCACTAATGTAAACGGTACTTGAGTCTGACTCACAGTTTCTTCAGCTTTCTTTGTAATTCAAATGCTTCTGATATGTTCTGTGCTGACTAGCACATATTTTTATCCTGTCAGTAGCACTATATAGTACTTTTCACCAAATACAAGTGGACTAAGAGCTTTGATATATTTCCTTTGTTTATATATGCCACAGGTGTCAAACTCAGTTCCAAAAGGGCCGCAGCTCTACACAGTTTAGTTCCAACCCTAATTAAACACACCTGATCAAACTAATTGAGTCCTTCAGGCTTGTTTGAAACCTACAGGTAAGTGTGTTGGAGCAGGGTTGGAACTAAACTGTGCAGGGCTTCGGCCCTTTTGGAACTGAGTTTGACACCCCTGATATATGCCATGTATTTCCCCCTCTGGGCTTGCCATAGAGAGGTACTGCACATGTTTCCCTTATAAGGAACCCTCACTGTGAATGCTCTTTGACATGAATAATGGCAAATTACAGCATAAGCAATAGCTTCTTGAAGGGGCAGGACGTATCGAACACTAGAGAACATTTGATTGGACAGAAGATGTTATGAGAAATGGAAGTATGAGGTGACGTCAAATAATTTCCTGACTCATTTTGCTGGAATTGTTTAGATGTTTAAATCTTCTAAATGCAAATATGGTCACAGTTTTAGAGCGCACTGGATTATAGACGAACCTAAGACTAACATAATCACTCATACACCCCAAAAAATGCACATTTTTATTTTAAGGGGACCTTTTAGTGTGTGTGTGTGTGTGTTTGTGTGTGTGTGTGTGTGTGTGTGTCTGTGTGTGTCTGTGTGTGTCTGTGTGTGTCTGTGTGTGTCTGTGTGTCTGTGTGTGTGTGTGTCTGTGTGTGTCTGTGTGTTGTGTGTGGTTGTCACCTGGCCCTGTTCCAGATACACACTCAGCTGGTGTGTTTTCTTGGCTCCAGTGTGCAGCAGAAGCCCTGAGCCTGAATCCAGACGGACCTCCAATTGGATCTCCAGGTCCTGTCCTAAAACCAGCGACTCGTCTAAAGAGCAGAGACACAGTGAACAAAGAGTTTGTGTATCAGAAAGTTCCTGCTGAGAGTATGATAATAGGATTAAAATGGCTGACCGATGGTCATGAATCCTCCACGACTGGAGAAGTGAGCGCCGGGCTGCAAAGGCTGCTGGTAACAGGGCGTCACTCCTACACTGACAGACGGGCTCTGAAGAGACACCTCGTTCAGTTTCAGGTCCCGAACACAGCCCACGAATCCAGCCTGACAGACAGACAAGTCAACAATTCAACATTTGTGTTGAATTTGTTTCTCAACCACGTTCCTGGGGCTCTGCACATATTCCATGTCTCTTAAACCAAACACACCAGATTCAGATCATCAGCTCATTAGCAGACACTGAAACACCTGTAATGGGTGTGACAGACAAATGAGACATCCAAAACATGCAGTGCTGGTGGTCCTCCAGGAACGTGGTTGAGAAACACTGCCATACATTTCACTTAAATCACAGAAGAACGCAAAACAGTTTTTAAAAGAAAAAAACTATCACTGATGCCTCATGCGTGCAACTGTTAATGCATGCCTGCTGGTCTTCTAATTGATACAGCAGTTCCGCCATTGTTGTTAAATGTGTTTTTTTTTCTTCTACTTCTGTTCACGTGGTACTGTGTTGTCATCGTTTACAAAAAGAGGCTCCTACATGATAAGCAAGTAGAGTTAATTCTACTCTATACCAACAATGCTAATGTTGAGTGGAAAAAAAGGCTAAAACGATGTTGAACTTTTGTGCATTGGTGTACTTTTTTGACATGGCATGGTAGTAGGTAGCAATTTACTTGAAAGGGCTGTTATGCTGTTTTGTTAATGCCAAGTTGTCATAACAAACAATGTCATCTTTGCATTTAAAATGTCAATTTAGCACATCACACTTAAAGCTTCACGAAACCATCGAGTACAATTTTTGAGATGTTAACAGATTTGTGTGTGTTGAGCATCAGTTAAGACAGGGGTCACCAATCCTGGTCCTGGAGGGCCGGTGTCCCTGCAGGGTTTAGCTCCATCTTGCCTCAACACACCAGCCTGGATGTTTCAAGTATACCTAGTAAGACCTTGATTAGCTTGTTCAGGTGTTGTTGATTAGGGTTGGAGCTAAAATCTGCAGGACACCGGCCCTCTGGGAACAAGTTTAGTGATCCCTGAATTAAGACAATGTTAGCATCTGACAGCTTTAATTGTGGGGAAAACTGGATAATTTGGAGCTTTTGTCAGCTTATTTCAGCTTCCGGGTTTAAAATGATATTTGAGCCAAGATCAAAATCGGCGACATGGCGCAAAACTGCAAGTGCAAGGATGACGCGTGGGTTTCTCATTATTATTCATAGCTGAGTTTTCTTATCCTATGAGAAGAGCCGGCTTCTTAATTATTCATGACTGCACATGATTTCCGAAGGCAAGACACTGCCAGTGCCAAGCTGTGAGACACAGACCCACGGCACACAGTATTTAGCTGTTCATGAAGGGTCGTATGTGTTTGTTGCATGATCCACGTGATTTGTTGCATGTTTTTCCCCGTGATGCTGTCAGGTTCAATACAGCAAAGCTGTTTGTGTGCAGCAGGCATTTTTGTCGGGAGAGCAGTACGAGAATTGGAGAATGGCGAATCTTGTCTTTTATCAGGACTTCACATTTAGATACATCGCCGTGCTGCTGTGTTTGCATAAATCCTCCAGATTACCAGCAGGGCTAATGGTTAAAATAGACAGGGCAAGTCTGCATTCAAAACGATGATTCAGACCGATGATTGAGGGAAAAGTCCTCATTTATAGTTTATATGAACCCGGTTATCTTTATTATGATATAAATTGTGGTTATCTGCATATGAAATTACAAATAACAAATGTAGCAGGGCATTAAATCACTGTTTATTTCTTTGCATTTTAACTTTGTATACTATAAAATCATGCATCTCCTCACGGTTTGTGTCTCATTTTCACTCAGCCGACTGACAATAGTTGTTCGCTCCCCTATTTCTCTCATGCTAGGCACGCCCCCTCCTGCCCTTTGCTCGTGGAGCTCCACGCTCATTATCATGCATCTTTTGAAAAAATTCTGAGGTAGACCTGAACCAAAAGTGGGGGGTGTCATGACCGTTTAATGACTTGTTATACGCATACATAAAAGCTCATTCCCATTCATGACGTGTCATGTCAGGATTATAAAGGTTTAATGTCTTATGAACACCCAGTGGAGTAAAGTGTTACCCTATTAGTATTTCCCTAAACCCAAGGTAAAAAAAATGCCATGGAGCAAACAAAAGCCATATAGATAAGCTCAAGGGGAAAACTAGCATCTGTTTTTACAGGCACAGTTAGCTCACAATTGACTAATATCACACCCAACTGGATAAAATTGTTCATCGAGTAAAAATATGGTGGCCAGTGTTTCACATTCACTGAAAATAGCAATAAAAATAGTTTAAATGCATTAAAAAGGGGTATTGTAATCCCATATTCATGCATGCTAATAAGAGTGCTCATTAAATCAAACTCATATAAATGATATGAGTAAATAATATCAATCAAATCATATTTATAAAAGGTATTTGCATTTTCTTATTAAAATAATGACTATACAGTAACGAAATATATAAAAGTAAAACAGTATACTGTTCATACTTCATTCATTTTCTTCTCGGCTTAGTCCCTTTATTAATCCTGGGTTGCCACAGTGGAATGAACCACCAACTTATCCAGCAAGTTTTTACGCAGGGAAACCGGAACACCCGGAGGAAATCCACACGAAGGCAGGGAGAACATGCAAACTCCACACAGAAACACCAACTGAGCCAGGGTTCAAACCAGCGACCCAGCGACCTTCTTGCTGTGAGGCTACAGCACTACCTACTGCGCCACTGCCTCGGCTGTTTATACTTATACTACTTAAATAAAACACAAACAAGGTGGAGAGACGGTTCAAATTAATTTAGCTGTTTCAAATAAATAGAAACGAGCAGTAATAAAAACACTATTTTTAAATTCAATGTTGGGTGATATGGTGGCTCAGTGGTTAGCACTGTCGCCTCACAGCAAGAAGGTCGCTGGTTCGAGACCTGGCTGGGTCAGTTGGTGTTTCTGTGCATGTTCTCTCTGTTTGTGGGTTTCCTCCGGATGCTCCGGTTTCCCCCACAGTCCAAAGACATGCACAGTAGGTGAATTGACTAAGCTAAACTGGTTGTAGTGTATGAGAGTGTATAGATGTTTCCCAGTACTGTGTTGCAACTGGAAGGGACATCTGCTGTGTAAAACATATGCTGGATAAGTTGGCGGTTCACTCCACTGTGGTGACCCCAGATTAATAAAGGGACTAATGCCGAGTTCAGACTGTATGATTTTCAAAGTAATCGTGTCACAGATGTTTTCACACAGCATGACTATCTGGGCTAGCGTTTTGTCGCTGCTTTGTTTACACTGCAAGATGGATCAGCGACGAGGGCTTTCACATTGCACGACTTTACAATAGGAAGAATCGCTGACAACTTCGTCCAAACTACGTCGAACACAGCCAAAAACACATAGTATATCTTTTATTATTAATTACATAATGAGAAAGAAGCCTTTAATGGGGTAGAAAATGTACATATGTGCTCACCTGGGTTTGAAGGGATTTAGCTATTTCTCATCATCTTCTATATAAAACTTTCTGTATGAAGCGTCAAACAGATATGTGTGCTCCAGTCAAACCTCCACTAGTTTTTCAAAATAAACCGAAAATGAGCGCTTTTAACTTCTCCCTTAACCTTCCGCTGGCCAGCCGACACACAAACACACACGCAAGTGAAAGCTGCTCTCTCACTGACTGTAGGCGATCTCTGATGTTATTTTCAGTCAAAACTCATTTTACACGGCATGGTTTAAATCGACGACAGCTCCGGATATTTAGCACGCCAAAAATCTCACAGGCATTGTCGACTCATCTGCGATTCTCTCAGATCGCGCATTT